CGCTTTCTTCAGGCATATCATTCTTGTGGCCTAGCTGTCAGATTCTGTAGCACTTAAAAGAAGAAAAGAGGCTTTGTAAGTCTTTATTTAGAAAAATAAAAATACACATCCTCCCTTTGAAAAGTGAACCAAGGGAAACTGAGGCCAGAGAATCACCAAGCCCAGTAGTTTGAGATTGCTGTGAGCTATGATGCCGCAGCACTCTACCAAGGGTACATAGTGAGACTCTGTCTCAAAAAAATATTTTTTTTTGCAGCACACACACCCATTGAAAATCACTGCTATAGAGGAGTTAAAGAAGACAGTCCACATCCCTGTGCCTTTCTTTAAGGCATCCCTCCCTCAATCTTATCTCCTGTTGTTGGGATAAGCAAGGGCAGAGTTCTCTAAAGTATAAACAAGACAAGTCCTGCTACCTGTTTTCTCCCTGCACGGTCTCCCCACCCTTCCCAGACATGCAAAATTCACTGATGTGAGACTACTATGGTACATGGACTTAATAAACTGTGGAATTCTACTCAACTTACTTAAAGGAGTGATTCTCAATCAGGGCGATTTCCTCCTGCTCAGGGCCCAGGGACATTTGGCAACATCTGGAAACATCTTTGGTTGTCACAAATGGCCAGGGAGGGAGGCAACCCATAGGCAGAGGCCAGGAGTGCTCATAAATACCCTACAGTGCAGAGAGAAGGCCCCACGATTAATTACACAGCCCCATGTGTCAGTAATGCTGAATGTAAGAGATCATGTTTTAAAGAGTTCCTCATCTAACAGGATCTTTGAAAATTTTGCTATAATCCATTAAGTTACTTAAAATTTGAAGTTTATGCCTGGGACAAATTTCCACCAGATGGCGCTAAAACACAAATAAAATTGAAACTTTTAACTCCATTTCAGAATTTGATTTCTTTCCCTTGTCAGCTTTTAGAGTAACAGTGCCCATTCTCTTCAAACAGGATTGTCACTTTTTTAGGTGCTTAGTGTTCCCATCACTAGTAGTTTTATGAATAATAACTAAAACTCAGATGGAAGATGAAAAGAGCGGGGCCCACATCCTCAATTAGCCACAGAATTTCCATTTCCTGTAGCAATAACAGTATAGGAGAATGGGCTACTTCTTGTCTTTTTTTTTTTTTTTTTTTGAGACAGAGCCTCAAGCTGTCCCCCTGGGTAGAGTGCCGTGGCATCACAGCTAACAGCAACCTCCAACTCCTGGGCTCAAGCGAGTCTCCTGCCTCAGCCTCCCAAATAGCTGGGACCACAGGTGCCCGCCACAACGCTTGGCTATTTCTTTTTTTTTTTTTTTGGTTGCAGCCATTATTGTTGTTTTGGCGGGCCCAGGCTGGATTTGAACCTACCACCTTAGGTGTATGTGGCTGGCGCCTTAGCCACTTGAGCCACAGGCGCAGAGCCTACTTCTTGTCTTCTTCAGCCAACTTTTAGCACCTGAGCACCTGAAAAATAAACAATTCCAAGACTGCTTTACCCTTAAGGATGGCCAAATAATGAAGTTCAGGCCATTAGTGGGATGTGAGCAGAAGTGTTGTGGGCCACTTCTGAGTGGTACCCTTAAAGAATTGGTTCTCAATGTGGGGTGACTTTGCTCCCCAGGGTTATATGGCAATGTCTGGGGACATTTGTGGTTGTCACAACTAGGGTATATTACTGAGATCTTGTGGGTAGAGACCAAGGCTGTTGCTAAACCTCCTACATGCTCAAGATAGCCCCTGTAAACAGAATTATCCAACTTCGATTGTAAATAGTGTCAAAGTGGTTAAACCCTATCTCAGAGAGAAGGGGCATGCCCCTGGTTTCCCCTTCCCTCCTTCCCCAGTGGCTGGGGAAAGGGTGCAGTGGTGTGCCATCTTCAACCATGTGAGCCAAGGCAAGAAACCAGGGAGGGTGAAATTGAAGTCCCTAGTCCCGTGGAGCTGCCACACTACTCTGGGCTCCTTACACCCAGGCTGCTCTGAGACAGAAACATAACTTTCAAGGTTTGAGCCATTTCTCTTCTGGGTCTCTGTCACAGCAACCGAGGTAATATCCCATCAAATACCATAGTATACTAATACATACATACACACACACACACACACGTGTATGTGTGTGTGTTTTCTCTTTCCTTTCCTGACGCTGGTTTCTTCCCTGAGGCAGAGATTCTACCAGGTCCCAATCCATCCCTGACTCTTCCCAGAGGACATCACACTCCTACCATCGCCGCGTTCTAGCCACAGACATTTTCTCCTCCATCCATTTTCTAAATAACAGAGAGAGAACATTGTTTAAAATAATCCCCCTCAACAGACACACAGTTTCTTGCAGATGCCCCCGGCCAGGTCCCAATACCCGGCCCGAGAGCAGGTTCTCCCCAACTGTTCTCCGCCCCTGCCCGGCCAGAGCTCAGAGCTGAGAGACCCACCCACATTCCGTGGGCGTCCTCCGGCACAAAGAGGCCTGCGCAGCGGATGTGACGTCACCGAGTAGCCGGGACTTCCGGCGCGCCGCGGCCTCGTAGGACTCACACCGGATGCGCGTTTCCAGTACCGCCAGCGGTATCCCCTTCCTCATATCCCTTCCCCTCTGTCTTTCCCACGAAAATTAGGCACCTTGTCGCCCACCGCCCAGGATCTACAAGCTACGTGCCCACGAGGTGACTTAGGGGGCGGCTGGGTTTCCTTTGGGGAGCGAGGGAGAAGCCCACCCTGGGCTCGGCTTCCCTTGTTCCGATAAGAGCCGCGGTCTTGGTGGCCATGTTGTTACCGTAATTATTGTCATACCGCGGCAACAGGTGGAGCCATAGGCCCTTGAGATTCCTGAGTCATTACCGATTAATTGTGGGAAGGGACTAGTTCCAAAGGTTCCCAGGTCTGCTGTGCTTCCTAATCACTGAACGACTCATCCTAGACGAACTAAATCCGAAATCTTAAAAGTGGGGCTCGGGCATAGGTATTTTTCAAAGCCCCCATGTGATTCTGATGTACCGAGTGAATCTGGATTTTGCCCATCCAGTGCAGTCTTCTCAGTAGAATATCACCCAAGATAAATTCATCCTAGGAGAGATGTTTAGGATTTTTGCCCATCCACTCAAAAAAATGTGTGTAGGGGGAGGGGAGTTCTCTGTTCTCTCTTGCACTTTAACCTCTGAAGGAGGTCAGAGATTTGGGCAGAAATTATCTTGAGAACATTTGGCACCTCCAATCGTTTATGGACCTTATCTACCGAGACGGAGAATGTCTTCACCCACTTTCCTTGGTTGGTAAAGAGCTGGAGTTGAACCAGTGACCAAGGAATTGCCTCAGAAGTTCTGTGACTCCCTCAGTTCAGATCAGATAGTTCTGAGCAACTTTCTTTTTTTCAGGAATGACTTTTAAACTTGCTTCACAATCTATGCTCGGTATTTAGCTGTTTTTCACCTTAAGTCAGAAAAACATTACTTTAAAAGTCTGAAGATTAATAACACAAACAACACTTCTGGGGTTATTTATTCTCATGGCCCCCTTGAATTGTATGATGAGAGAGATACCCTTTTAAAATACCATTTATAGGCCAAGTGCTCATCCCTGTAATACCAGCACTTTGGGAGGCTAAAACAGGAAAATTGCTTGAGCCCAGGAGTTCGAGACCAGCATGAGCAACATAGCAAGAGCTCCATCTCTACAAAAAAAAAATAACCAAGTATGGTGGCCCAGAAGTGTTGTTTGTATTATTAATCTTCAGACTTTTAAAGCTATATTTTTCTGACTTAAGGTGAAAAACAGCTGAATACCAAGCATAGGTTGTGAAACAAGTCCACTCAGTCTCAGCTTCTCCTGGAACTGAGGCAGGAGAATTGCTTGAGCCCAGGAGTTGGATGCTGCAGTGAGCTGTGATCAAGCCACTGTACTCCAGCCTATGCAACAGAGCTAAGGGGGCAAATTGAACAACTGAGGCTAGAGTGTTAAGTTGGAGAGTTTACAGACTAGCTACAGAACTCTTGGAACTACTTCTCTACAATAAGAATCAGCCATAGAACAGTTGGGCAAATGAAAAAAGAACATAACTATAGTTGATTAAAGGTCAGATGAATTGAAAATATACTTAAAAACATAACATATTTAAACATTTGCTTCCTGAAAAGATTTGGTACTTTATAATTAGGTGAGTTGCCAGCTCCTCAGTGATTAGGGGGAGTAGAGGTAAGAAGAGAGTGTTGTTAGGAAACAACAGACAAGTTCAACTATTTCCACAACATCCAAAGCATGAACTATTAGCTATTTTATGCTAGAAGAAAAATAGGAAATTTAAAAGGAATAGATTGTGGAAAGCATACCTACAAATAATTGATTGTGTCCAAATGAATGAGGTATAGTTAATGCTATAAAAATTCAGAAAAGAGAGAGACTAACATAGAATTAGCATGAATATGTTTTTAGAAAGTAAATTTGAAATAAGACTCCTGAAATGTACTGGTGGCCTTAACCACTTTGTAAACTAGTCGTGGGTTTTGCTGATATGCTCTTAATTTGTAATACCTGCCTATTCAACCCTTATTCCCTCATAGTCACACTAAGTTTTGCTGTATAAAGATATACTTGCAGTGAAGTGAACGTACCTGTTTCTTCTTTAGAACTGTGTTATCATTGTGTCATTCTCAGTTATCTCATTGCCTGTTATGTTCATGAATCAAGGGGTAGCTTTGTTCTTGGTCTCATATTTCACTTTTGATTTTGATGCTAGTCACATGGGATTTAGAGAACTTCCAAATCCATTCACAAATCCATCACCCTTACTGACAAATTAAACAATGCCCTTCTGTGGGTGGAATGTCATATGTATGGGGGGGGGAGCATTATAAACTACATCCTTTCAGTCTTATGCCTTCTGCGTGCTGTGCCTTTTTTGTGACAACACTTATTGCAACATCCAGAAGAAGGTAAATTGAGATTTGGGGCTAAGGGAATGAAAAGGAAATAAAACCCAAGTTTTTGGCTCCCTCGCCCATAGGTCTTAACTGTGGCTGTTACAGATTCAGAGGTGCAGGCTTTCTGAACACAGGGGTTTATGCACTTGTAGCAGGCCTGTGCCCCACCAAAAGATGGAAGCTTGTGCTTCTGCAGGTGGAAGAAGGCCATTCAGACTTGAGCCATCTTTGATGTCCCAATCACTAAGCAGGGACCATGCAGAGCCACAGGAGGGAGCCCATGAGGACATCAAGCCTGTTGAGCTTGTCAGCCTCAGCAACCAGCCAGAGAGGGGCAGGACATAACACCCTGAGAAAGAACCCATTTTATTATTTATCTTAGTTGAGGAAGTCTTACTGCCATGTGTATTTTTGGAAGACATCTTCTCTGATAGGGTTATTAATGCATGTGCAGAGAAAGATTTCTTAGAACCACATATGACTGAATTTTTATAATTTAGATTTCTCATTGTACCTTCATTCATTTTGCTGTGGTTTCCAGTAGACCCCCTTCCTTATCCTTTGAAACAGTGTGTACTGTGGGCCTAATTAGATCTCCCAGATTCCCTGGTTGGCTCAGAGAACCAAATCAGTGGGAGCCTCATAGGAAAGATTCTACTTTCAGGGCTTTAGCTGGAGTAACTTACTTAAAGATTAACTATTAGTCTGTTTCTATATAAAATTCGAAACAGATGAGTGTTCATGTACTTAATGTTTAAAATTCTAGTGGGAAAGGAAGATAGGAAAATCTAGTTGCAGAGTCTGCATTGGAGATTTTATTCATCTGGAGTTTTTATGTATCTGGTTGCTATGACATGTCCTGGATCCTACAGTTAAAAAATACAAATATGCAATTAGAAGAATACATAATGCTGTTACTACCTCTCAAAGCCACATTACTTATTTGTGGGATTTGTTGGGTAACTTGATGGAAATAGTTTTATGCATTGAAAACTACAAGGCATTTATCTGTTCTTTGTATATTTATATGAATATAAAATATATCTTTCAAGATAAGCAATACACTGAAGAGTAAATGCAATATTTAAGGGAGGCTATGTGGGGAAATACATTGTTCAGGACTTGGAGTCTCTGTCTTGCCTGTAGGCCTCACCAGTGCTTAGTGAATGACCTCACCCCTGTTTTCTTCCTTCCTTTGGGGGCTGAGGACGGACAATGAATGGGCTCTGTACTCCCCAGGGCTCAGCTGGGTAGTGACCGTTATGCCATTGTGATCCCTGGGGAGGGCTGCTGGGTTTGGAGAGCTGCGGATCCCAGCCTCCCCTGACATTGCCAATCTCTTTTCTTTCAGCTCTGCCAGCCCATTAGAGGTTACTGTTCAGTGCATGAAGGTTTGTGCCTTCACAGAGTAAGAGACACTCCCAGGGGAGGAAGGAAATGAGAAAGAAAATTAAAGACCACTGAATGGGCATTGAAATCTGCTGGAACCGTGAATTTTATTTTCTTTGAGAGGTGGTTGGTTCTGAAAGTGTCACTAGAATATCTAGATTTATTTTAACATTAGTGCTTCAGAAACCTAGACATCCACATTAGACCCGAAAGCTAGCTGTGTAGAGAAAGTAACCAGTTTTAAAAAGTTAATAGGACCCATATTTTGAGAAGGCTCTCTCCTTCCCTTGGGAGCTGATAATAACTGATTTGCTGATTGCTTAGCAGGGGAAAATATGTATTTCTTCCAGGGAATAGATACTCAGAACTCTGTCCTGCTTTCAGAAATCTTGACACTGCTTGTGCCATCGAAGCCCTGTGGATTGATACTGTTTTGCAAAAGTTGTGTTGGAGTTGTTTATTTACTTATTCATTTATTTTTGGTTGTAATGAAGTCTTTAAATATCTGTGTAGATCTTTAAGAAATTGTTCGATTTCCTTATTTAGTCACAGAGACTATTCTTTTTTTCCCCAAATAGTACTTATTAGGAATGGGTCACTAATATTACTGTTGGGCATAATCATAGTTTTCTTCCTTCCGTCAGTCTTACTCCAGGCATAATAATTTATGGAATATTTGAGAAATGAAAAGTCCCTCTACAGATTTCCTCATGGGAAATGAAGAATAATTAGGATGTTCAGTACTCTGAGGCCGGAGTCTGTATACCCTAAAAATGTGTTGATGCAAATCAGGGATGAGAGGGGAAAACCCACAGCTTGGTTTTTGTATCTCCAGGGAGCTAAGAATTGTTTTCACATTTTTAAAGGGTTGTTCAGTGTGGGGTTTTGGCAGTTTTGTTTTTTTTTTTAAACAAAATGAAGACTTTGTGACAAAAACTGTATGTGGCCCACAATCCTAAAATACTTACTGTATGATCCTTACCAAAAAAGATTACTGACATAAAATAACAAGAGTAATGCTGAAAATGCTAAACTAAAAATAATTATAAAGCTCAATGTAAGCGGCTATTCCTTTAGACATGTTTTTCTATACCTTTTTGGATTTTTTGAGAGATTAATTTGAAATTATTCAAATCAGCTATTCAGATTGATTAATTTGAATATTCTGTAGGATTTTAGGAATTTGAAAAATACTCACAGTGTAAAAGGATATTACAAATAGGTTTTGCAATTTGGGGAGAGAAAATAAGGAAGCCAAGGGTGAAATAAGCATATTCTACATTCAGCCCCAGGGCTCTAACCTGCTGGAAGATGGCAGCAAATTTGATTGTAACTATCCCAGTGGCTAGAGCAATGAGGAAAACAGGATTGAAACAAAACAAAATTGCTTACAAAGTTTCCTGCACACCATTAGTAACATAAATTCTTCTTTCCTTAATGGTCTCAGTCTAAAAAGGGTCTAGCGCTTTAGCTGATTAGTGTATTTTATGGATAGTGGGCACTCTGGGCTGAATCTGAGCTGACTCTGCTTCAGAATCATGGCTTTGTTCAATCATCTCAGCTGGTTATCCCAGCTTCTTTCTTGCAAAAGTGCCCAGGGCATGCCTAGGTAATCTCAGAAGATGTAAGGCAGCTCATCTACCAAATTATTGGTTGGATCAAAGTCACACGCAACCTCTTGTCGGATTAACACTCCTTCCCTCTTTAAATGATAGCCATTGACATTTGAGCAGCCTGGACAACACTATGGATTACCTTGAACCTCTTAAATGGCAATCTACTTTATCATGCGTGCCTAAACTTCTGGCTCTGCAAAATGAAATGTCTCCTAGCCACCCTCATGAATCTTCAGAATCTTGGTGCTGTAACCTTTAGTGCTAGGCTGGATTTTCCAATTTTAAGGGAGAACAGGATTTAATCTACAGTAGTGTTCAATTGCAATGGTGTTTATTACATATTTGAGGTTATCAGACTTCCCAATTTGGGATAATTGATTTTTACATTGACCTGGTTCTAAGTGTGCCTTATGAGACATAGAAAGCAATCTGGATTCAAAACTCTTGTTTTCCACAAGACACACAGATGTCTCCTAGTCTTTTCTGATTTAATTTATTTGTTGCTTGTTAATCTAGAAAACAAATTTGATTAAGACACACATGGAGTTTGCTTTAATGTCATTAAGCGCTACAGGCTTTTAGATAGCTGTTCATATTTCCGTGGTAGAAATATAAAACCTGGTCTAATGAATTGGTCACTTAAAGGCTGTACCTTGCAGTGGAGCACTCAAGTATGAACTGATTTCTACCATAATTTCATTTGAGTAAATCTCAGTAGACCAGTGCTGTTTGGCAAAGGCAATCTATGTGGTGCCTTGATGGAGAGTCTCCTTGGAACAGTTTTTCCTCCTGTGAAGAGGCAGCATGGTTAGCTGTGGAGAGTGTGGTGTCACACCCTTGCTGAGAGGTGTGTACTGTAATCAAAACTAAAACAGGGCCAAACAAATTATTTTCATTTTGTGTTAGGGCACAACTAAGGCCGAGATGTCTTATTGAAAGAGGCTTCTCCAAGTCCCAAGCCTAAGGCAAGACCCAGCAGAGGTTTCTAGTCAGTTGGAAAGATGTATTTTACTCAAGGCTCAGGAAAATCTAGGTTTAACTTCAATAGTCATTGGCATGGGTTAAGGATTAGTAAATAAAGTAATAGTTGTAAATTTTTAATTCATGTTCTGTATATTATTTTGTATATACATACTAACTAAATATATGATCATTTTCATAGACTTCACTTTCAATAGGGAAACAAGTAATTGAATGCAAAACCATGCAGGGCCCTTGACCCACTTAGTCATACCTAAGGGGACCCCTTTTCACACCACAAGGTCATGACCTAAGTGCCGGAGTCTAGTAGATATGTCACATGAAAATCAGGCATTGTACTGGGAAGAGGCAACCTCGCAGAAGCTGCTTCACAAACGACAGAATGGCCACAAATATCATGTAGCTGTACTGATCAGAAGTTTACCCTCTGGTTGTTCTTTCCTAGATTCAGTGCCCATTTGGACTCTCACAAGAAGGATGGAAGCACAGGTAAGATTTTTTGTAATGCCTAAGAAGAAAAGATCAACTATAGTCTTTGAAGTCTTGGTGTTCTCATTCCATGACAGAGAAGACAAAAAAATGCATTAGAAAACTAAAACTAAAAGCACCATTGGACATGTTCCTAGACATCTCTTGTCCCAGGTGGTCCAGGCCAGTGGGTTAGTTTAGGGGGCAAAGGGGAGGAACCAAAGTCTGTTATGCTCACTAATCCATATGTTCTTGGCAGGCTATTTCTCACTTGGAACTAGTTTAATTACAGTGGGTAAAGGGGGATAAGATGATAAGCTTCAAGTGCTTATCTCGTTTTATATCTTATCTAAGAGCAATCATTGGCCCCTGTCCCCACATTGTAATCCTCCATAGCCTTACTAATTGTCCTGCAGAGATCAAGTGTGTGTGGATTGATGTCCATCGTGGACAGACTGGTCTTCTATCTTTTTGTGGCCCAATAGCATCCTCAGGTAGCATAGGTGTTTAACAAATCCTCAATAAATTCCTATTGGCTAGTTGACCCAACATTTGAAGGTTTCTCTAGTAATGAATTATTTGGTGCCTACCCTCCACCTCCTCCTATTTTGTAGGCATCAACATCAAATGCTTCTGAGTATTGGTATTCTCACCCAGCATATGCAAGATACTGGCAGCATTATCATCAAGCAATGGCTTGGATGCGAAACCACCAGAAAGCCTACAGAAAGGCCATGCAATTCTATTTCAGTTTTTCACAGCATTTCCCTTCTACAGTTTCTTCCCCAAGTTCTTGTGATAATGAGGCTAGAGATCCTCAGTCTTTCAGTGACCATCACGTAGCCCAGCAGGACTACCATCGCAGTTCACAATTCAGAAGGTCTAGGAAGCAGCGACACGTTAGCAGAAGGTTCCAGGTATCCTCAAGAGAAGAGCAAACTACCTCCCAAGATGAGGAGGAAGAGAGTGAGTCAGACGGGGAGATAGAATGTGACCTGAGCAACATGGTAATCACGGAGGAGCTCCGCCAGTACTTTGCAGAGACCGAGAGGCACAGAGAAGAGCGACGTAAGTTCAGGCCTCTGTCTCCTCATGCTTCCCCTTTCTTTGCCCTGACTTTTGCACTTCTTTTTCTTCTCTATTATACAGAGTTATTTTGTAACTCTTCATTGGGGTCCAGGTAATAGTCCAAATCCAGTCTCAAACTTGGAAAAACCATGATGATATTGCACCACTCATATAGTAATGTATTGCTCCATTCATGTTACTATAGAGGGGTACCTGAAATTGGGTAATTATAAAGAAAAGAGATTTATTTGGTTCGTGTTTCCATAGGCTATATGAGAAACATGGTGCCAGCAGCTGGTTCTAGTGAGGGCTTCAGGCTGCTTCCTCTCATGGCAGAAGGCTAAGGGGAGCCTGTGTGCAGAGATTACATGGCAAGAGAGAGGAGGAGGGAGGTGCCAGTTACAAGCACCTTTCAGGGAAACTAATAATGGGAGAACTCACTAGTGAGAGAATGGCACCAAACCATTCCTAAGAGACCTGCACCCCACAATCCAAACACCTCCCACCAGGCGCCACCTCCAACATTGGGGTTCAGATTTCAGTGTCAAACAAACCATAGCAATTAGTTGCCAGAGTTGTTTTAGCATAGGACTTCTTTTTAGTTCCATAACAAAGCTTATCCTAATAGTCTTTCTACTATTTTTGAATGTTAGACACTGTCACATAGAGCCCACATGTGTCTGTATGTTCCCTAATCTACAAAACAGTACCTCAAAGTATTTAACCTGTTTTACAAAGAAGGAAAATGAACTTCAAGAAGGTTAATGGATTGGTTCCATGGTCCACAACTAGTAATTTGCTGTTAGGATTCAAACCAAATCTATCTGACTCTACTTCCTATGCTGTTTCCTTTACACCAGGACTTGGTCCCTAAGACTGCTAGGCTCCTAAAGTACTCTTGCCATTTCTCTGGGATTTGACTTGGAGGCATTCCTGGTGTGACAGAGCTCCCGAATCTAAATAGCTCCCTTCAGAGTAGAGATCAATGTGAACCTAAACTAAAAGGCCCAGCACTTACAGCTTTCTGACGTGATTCTGTATTGATGCTCTTCCCAGGGGTTAGAGAATCATCATCAAGGTCTTATATCTCTTCAATCAGAAAGCAGAGGTTTTCTTTTTGAAATTTCTTACTTCCTTGGTACAAAGAACTAGAACTGCTTTTTGTACTCTCCTTACTATTAAAATTCCCTGGACCATTTATATTTTAAGTACCTCTGACAGATACACAAATACTTTTCTCTTTCTTATAGCCAGTATTCAGTCTCAATTTTTTTTAGTGACTTCTAATTCTTTTTTTTTTTTTGTAGTGACTTCTAATCCTATGACATTTTACGTAGAATTTTTTAGTAACACAGAAATGTACAAGCCTGAGAATGAAAGCTAGCTTTGCATCTTGAATTGTCTGCATTGTCCTGATGCTGGGCTAGCTTTTATTGATACCCCTTGGATGCCAGGAACTGAGCCATGAGCTTACAGTGTCATGTCTTTAATGATCTTTGCCTGTGATTCCTCACTAAACTAATTTGGGTCTTTGAACTTCCCTTCTTTTGATTAAACTGTTGACTTCTTTCATGCATATTAAAAGTATATCCTGGGGTGGTGCCTGTGGCTCAGAAGAGTAGGGCACTAGCCCCGGATGCCAGAGGTGGTGGGATCAAACCCAGCCCTGGCCAAAAAAAAAAAGTATATCCTGGCCAACTCAGTGGCTTGCCTGTAATTTTAGTACTCTGGGAGGCTGAGGCAGGTGGATTGCTAGAGCTCAGGCATTTGAAATCAGCCTGAGCAAGAGTAAGACCCTGTCTCTACTAAATACAAAAAAACAAGCCAGGTATAGTGATGCAGCTACTTGGGAGGCTGAGACAAGAGGATTTCTCAGACCAAGCATTTGAGGTTGCTGTGAGTTATGATGCCATGGCACTCTACCCAGAGTGACAGAGTAAGATTCTGTCTCAAAAAAAGAAAATATATCCAAACACAAATTTTTTTAAAAAGTACTTTCTATTACAGATAGAATACCTTTCCTTAATCTCCAGAAATAACTTTTACTGTTCTTCAAAATATACATACAAAACAACTATTTATCTAATTTTAAAGCATACAAGGAATGAGGGAGAGTAACATTGGAGCATGTCCACATTTCGTTGGAATATTGTTTGTTATAGCTTTTGAAAAAGAAAATGTGATGGAGATAGGGCTTATTATCCTTACCAGAAGGTAGAATGACATGTTTTTCCCACTAGAGATTGATACTTTTATGATGGAAGTTGTGTTTGAGAGTGGCAACAAACCTCAGTCATCGAAAAGAGCATTTTGAATTATCCGCTAATTTAAAATAAACCTGAGCTGTTCAATAAAAAAAAGGGATATGAAAATAAAATAATGAAATGTGTTCTTGCAACCAAAGAATAAAATGTAAGCAGTTCTGTGATGGATGGTTAACAACCATCCCTGTTCCTCCCTCTTATCATTGTCAGGTAGAATTAATTCTAGGTAGCTAAACAAAGTCATGGAAATTACCTGCTAAGTCATGCCTGTCTTTGAATAAGTGAAGTGTTTCAGTGTTAATTATAAGCCTTAAATCAGAGGTCAGCAAATCTTATCCCATAAAGGGCTACAATTGCAGTCATTCTGTGGGACATTTGACTTCTAGAACCATGAGACCATAAATTTCTGCTGTTCTAAGCCACGCACACAGTGTATGGTACTTGATTGTCACAGCACTAGGAAACTAATACAATCACCCTATTATTTGGGAATTTTCTCTGTTCTCAAATGCCATCTGCGACTGGGACATAAAGAAAACCACACGGGTCTTGTCATCTCTGTTAAGGAAATGTGTTACATATTTGTTTTACTGTGATCCAGATAGCAAACCATCACAAAAAAGGAATTTTATGAAAACCCTTGCAACCTCCATTTTTAACCTTACTCCCCAATATCCATATTATTATTTGACAGTTATACATAGGCATCTGTGGTGGAACTGCTCAAATCACAGGGTTTCAGCCTTGCTCCACCACTCACTAACTGGAGGTTCTCATCCTCTTGTGGGTTCCCCTTCCCTCCCTTCACTGCCCTGTGCTGCAGTCTCCTTGTCTATGAAATGGGGATCTTAATTAATGGGCAGTAATTACAGCTATTAAATGAGAGCATCTGAAAAGGTTATAGATTGGTACCTGCTACCAAGTCAGTGCCCAACAAATATTTGTTCTTCTGGTCAGTTGCTGATAAACCCATCCTTTGGCATGTTTTATTAACCGTCAGTTGTTTTTACTCTGATAGTGCTTGATCGAGATTCTGCATTTTTTAATAAAGACATTCCGTGATTTTGAAAAGGTCGTATATTTCTGCTCTAGGCAGCACTTTTCAAACTTTGAAACTGATTTAGAACGTTAAAAACATGAGGGACAGACCAAGTTTTGGTGTCTGTCAAATTTAGTCATTAACACAGTTCTGAGTCCTGTTTCAAGGATGTTCATGCATGATAAATATACTAAAGTGCATGCACTGGGAACCTGAACCCACTTCCATATTTCTAATAATCGCACTATAGATTCTTTGTGCTTTTAAAGTGTGTAGTTATAGCATGATTTAAAACTCCTGTCCTAGAGTCTCTGTCATGCTTGCCTTCCCTGAACGCATTAGCAGGTCTGTGGGAGATGTGAGAATTGTCCAGCAAGGGTGAGAACAGGCTGAGATTAGATTAGAGTCAGACGATCATCTAGCGGTCTTTATTAGAAGATGCCGCCATGGTCTGAGCCTGTACAATAAGAGAATAATGGGCAGTAGGTCACTAGCAGGACTTTTTTTCACCAGTACGTTTGGTGGGTACAGGATGAACAGGTGTTCCCTCAAGCATTAATGAATGACAGAATTCATATGTAAGTAATCTGAATGAACGCCCACAATGCTTTCCAATCCATTACCTCCACTAGGAATTTTCATGGAGAGCCACTTACATACACAGTTGGGGAAAGCTTTAATAAAGAGATAAGGGACCTGGGTAGTGTGAATAATTGGTTAAAGTTTTTTGTTTTATTTTACTCCTGAAACCACTAGAAGCTATTTGTTTAATAAAGGAAGCTTTAACTTTGAACATGAATCATTTCAAAAACACAGACTCTTATTAGCAAGGGAAAATATAACTAAATTTGAAAGATTCAGCTTTTCAGTATTTTTCATTTCCACAGGAACATTTAGGTTATACAATTCGTCTTCTGAGTCTTATTTTATATTTTCATGGGATAAATTTGGACAGCATGTTCTTTATTATGGCTACTTGTATCCAGGTAGTGTCTAATTTAACATATAAGTAGGATAAGAACTTCTTTTGTGCAGTGGAAACAAGCATGCTTTTGATTATATGTCATCATTTCTTAACAAGAGATTTCTGTGAAGTAGACAGTTGTAAGATTTTAAAAGTTGCCTTTGTTTTCAGGTATTTCTAAGGAGAAATAACTGTTAAGAAGAGCATCATTTTAATGGATGGGCACAGTGGCTCACGCCTTTAATCCTAGCACTCTGGGAGGCCAGGGCAGGTGGATTGCTTTAGCTCACAAGTTCGCAACCAGCCTGAGCAAGATCGAGACCCCATCTCTTCCAAAAATAGGAAAAACTAGCTGGGCATGGTGGTGCCTACCTGTAATCCCAACTACTCAAGAGGCTGAAGCAAGAAGGATCACTTTAGTCCACGAGTTTGAGGTTGCTGTGAGCTATGATGCCACAGTACTCTTACCAGGGACAACAGAGTGAGACTCTGTCTCAAAAAAAAAAAAAGTATCATTTTAAAGTCATAAATGGCAATCAATTAAGACTGCCAGATTATCTTCCTAATACTTAGACGGAAAATGAGTCAGGTTATCATATCTGGCTGAGAATAATGTCCTGTGACACAAACACTGTCACTGTTTGGGGTTGAGCCAATCAGGTATTTTTCTTTTTCTTTTCTTTTTTTTTTTTTTTCTGCAGTTTTTGGCCTCGGGTTGGGTTTGAACCCGCCA